TATAAGTGCCCTAAGTAGGGTTATCCATTCTAATTAATGTGGTTGCAGCTTCACTAGCTGCGGAGGACGGACGCATGCACCTGCCTCGAGATGCAGCACTGCAGCTTCTGCACTCCTTTTCACGCATTTGGGCGAAGGGCTACTGCCCTAAACCCCTAAACCCCTAAACCCTAAACCTCGCACTTACCACGTACCATTGACCTCGCCTGGCATGTCCGAGTTGTGAGAGCGTAAACCTCGCACTTCCGTCCCTCTTCCTTCAGTCCAAGCTGCTCGCATCTTTGATCGTCAGGGCAGCGCCCTCAAACCGAGCCCTATGATCTTGAGAACTGTTGACAGAGACTTGAAGCTCGAAACAATCCATCTCGCCATTCATATCGTGACACTGAGCAGAGTCTGAAGTTCTGAAGAACGCTATCCTTTTGCGAGGCACCTCCTCCCGTGCCAGCTGCAGGCCACACAGACACTGAGCACAGGGTTGTAGTTTAGGTTTTGCTACAAGCTGAGGCAGGTCGAGCCAAGTATGTTGCTTGTCGGTTGAGCGGTTCATTTTCGTCGCACTTTTCAATCAGCTGGTGTCCGGCGTAGTTTGCGCTTGTGCGGAATGGAGATGCTCGGATGTTCGCTTTACAGACAGCACGATGCTGGTGCGTCAGTCTCATGTTCGTTGATGAACCTGTTGTAGGCGCATGATGGTGCGAGGCAGCAGTAGCAGCAGGCACCAGTCTCGCAGCAGCAGCAGCAGCAGGGAGAAGCTGCAGTTCGCCATAGCATGCTGTGACATACTGTTTGCTTTAGTTTATACTGCATGTACTATGCTGTATAATATGCGATGATGGCTTAAGCTCGCAATCGACACTCAGCAGCCGGTCATGTCTCAAGCTCACAAGTACGTACATGAGACAGAAACACTACGTATATCCCTTATACTTGTATTATCTACTATATGTTCATTATGTTACGAAACCCCTAAACCCTAAACCCTACGCCCCTAAAACATCAGACTTCGGACTGGCTTCCTTGGCCCAGAGGTCTCCCAAAGACAGCAGGGCCTCCGGGACCTGCCTTCGTGCGGGAGGCTTCGCGGGGCGGATGGGTTGAGGGTTTAGTAACGGCTGCTGCTGCTGCTGCTACTACTACTACTACTACTATTACTACTACTACTACTACTACTACTACTACTACTTCTACTTCTTACTACTCCTGCCACCACCACTACCACAGCGACTGCTACCAAGCACTTCTACGGCCACTGCTCCTGCTCCTGTTCCTACTGCTACTGCTCCTCCTGCCGCTGCTGCTGCTGTTGTTGCTTCTTCGATTGCTCTTGCTATTTCTATTGCCATTTGCTGCTGCTGTGAGTAGTCTGTGAGTACTAGTACGAGTACCAGTACTGCTATTGCGGTCTTAGTAGTAGAAACAGTGCCGTCAGTGAAGCAACAGAAGTAGCATTTAGTCGAGACCCAGTAGAAGTAGCACCAATAGTGAGAGTATAGCACTATGATCAGGAGCAGCAACAGCAGGGGTGATGTTGCATCCAAAACTTCGCCTTCCCTTCAGCGGCTACGGCCCTAAACCGTACACCCCAAACCATCGTCCCGAATTACGCACCTCTTCCGTCCCGCCTGCTCGCACTGCGGCCAGGTCACTGCTCAGATTGCACCCGCAGCTGCCACTGCCCAGCTCCAGGCGTCCCGATCTTGAGTTCAGGGTTTGCAACCCGGAGAGCCCAATACCCCTTAATTAAGGGATATATATATATATATCTTAAATCATAATTGGTAGCCCCTTATAACTTAATTAAGGTATATTCCTTAATTAAGGGGTATTGGGCTCTTTGGGAAGGGGCTGCCTGCTTGGGCAAACGTTCTGGGCGGGCGACGAGGCAAGCCCACTGCAAAAGGGGCCTTCTGCACAAAAACGCAGGGGTTGCGTGCTGGGAACATTGTTCGGCAGCCTGCAAGTTTTTGCTTCGAACACGGGCGCTGTAACAGGCGCTGCATGGCTTTGTTCAGTGTTCTAAGCTGGACATGAGGGTTGCGAGGGGGGGCCAATGTTCCCTTCACACAGAAGGCAGTCGGGTGCGATCCTTTCCCGTACTTTGGGTCCAGAAGTATCCGACAGCCAAGTTCCATTTCATGCCCGGGCCCCCTTCCTCACTACATGTGCCCTAAACCGAATAGGGCACTACCCATAGGCTCCAAAGTAGTTCCTTTTTGGGGGTTCCCTTATAGGATCCTAAATATAAACCCCAAAACGGAACTGCCATGGAGCCTCTGGGTAGATCGTCTTCCTTTCACCCCGATCTTCCGTAGTTCCCTGACCTCTGCAGGACGCTCTGGTCCAGGGGGCGGGAGGCCAACACAGGGATGGAGAGCTGAGCACTGTCGCAACATTATAGAGGCGCCTAAAGAATTGCCACTACTTTTTTGGAGGTTCCTTGTTAAAATTATAGTATGATATACCCCAAAACCCTATTCCCGATTTTGAAAGCCCCTACATAAGGTCTGCAGCAATAGCAGTCTAGCAGGCCCAGCAGCAACCGCTAATACCGCAGCGACCGCGGTGAAAGCGACCCTGTCTTTCTCCCGCTGGCATTGCTGCTGCCTATGCTATTGTAATTTGTGCAAACACAAGAGACAATTTCTAGTTCAATGTTTGGCAGTGCGGCTCTCAGTACCTCTCAGCAACCCTAGGCCGTGGAGTTTCTGGAGTTTTTTTTAGAGAGACAGGTGGATATGTTTGCATTGCGAGTTGTGCACGATGGCATATCGAACAATTGCCGAAGACTGTTAGATCTTGGGTCCGATTTCGGCGTATGACTACGACTTACTACGACCATGCTACTCGCAGTCCGAGGGCACACATGCTTAACCCTGCCTCTGCAGGCAGGCCTGCATCTGTAGTTAGTTTGCGTGTTTTCTAGATGTTTGTTGCAGTCGTTTGCCTGTGGTGTTGGTTGTATGTATGGATGTATGTATGTATGTATGTATGTATGTATGTATGCGTGTTATATTATGTTATGTTGCGTTACGTTATGTTGTTTTGTGTTGTGTTGTGTAATGTAGTGTAATGTAATGTAATGTAATGTAGTGTAACGTGATGTGATGTAATGTGATGTAATGTATGGTATGGTATGGCATGGCATGGTATGGTATTGTATGTATGCTTGCAATTAAATTTGCATGCATGTATGTATGTATGTATGTATGTATGTATGTATGTATGTATGTACGTATGGATATGTAAACATACCTATGCACGCATTCTTCTATCGTGTGTGTATGTATATATATATATATATCTCTGTATAGTATAGGTATTAGGGCTTTTAGGGTAAGCCCGACGACGAGAGGCACCTTGTCAGGGGCACTGCGTCTTGGAAGCTCTTCGATTCGGTCAGGGATTTGGGTTTACATAGGTTTGGGTTTGCGGATTCAGGGTGTAAGGGCCTTAAAGCTTTCAGGGGTCAGAGGTACAGGTTTGAGTCGCGACTCGCAGGTTTCAGAGTTTGGAATCGCGGAAGCATGGGTTCGCGATTGTGGGTGAGAATCGTCGGGTCTTCATGATTTCTGTGCGGAGGCTGTCGCGGTCGGAAAGCTTGGGCGAGTTGCGGGGTTTCCGTGCACGGGTGGTTCGGTTTCACGTTTCATATAGAAGCCTGAACAAATGTTGAATAATTAGTACTGTTGCTCCTTAGGGTTCCTTAATTATATTATAGTGTAGTTAAATATACCCAAAATTCAAAACTCTGTTCCACTCAATTATTCAGCCCCCATTTCAGAGGCTTAGGATTGGGGCTTCGGCTTCGAGATTCATTCAGCACCTCGCATTTGGGGTGGTTGGAGCTTCCGGTGAGGGGTCACATGTTGGGGCGTGGTTGTACAACTATCAAAAGCATCAGAGTTGTCGCAAGCCTAAACTACAAGGGCCAGAAACAAGAATCCCTAAACCCGATTTCTAGCAACTCAGGCAAGCCGTGGCACCACCGATGCCTCCGGATGTGCCGACCGTCGCGAGCCTGAGGGGAGGGTTTCAATAATTTGAATTGGGTTTCAGGGTGTATCACTACATAAGTTTGAGGACTGTAGTGCGATTCAATAATTTTCCTGCTGTTGGAGCCAGCTGCTACTTGCTGTTCCCATGCCCAGCACTGGCGTTTCCATCCCCGACTTACTTGCTGCTCGCAAGCGAAAGCGACGACAACCGCGAGGTTGGCAGGCTTGGCTCTACAGTCTGCAGCATGACTTGAGAGCACATTGTGTTTGCTGGCATGATCTGCTTGTGGAGTCACGAGCTGTTCACGCAGCTGCTTGCACTGAAGCAGATACGAATTTTCGATGGTCTCAGCAGCTCAGCCAATTCAATATAACCTAATCTAAACTTAAGTTGCCCATGGAACAGGGCTACATGTAGCCCCATGGAGCTGTCTTCTACTATCCCTGAGGCGCAGTCCAGTTCGATGACGTTGCTGTGCTGCGTTTGCGTTCTTGACAGCGAGCAAGAACTCGAGATAGTATCCCATTACAGCCCAAGTGTGTTTCTACTACAGCATACTAAAAGGTAACCCCCCCCCAACCCTGTTCTGCTTATCAAGGCCTTGCATCGATAGATACTCTGTAAAGCAGTATAGAACCCCAAGCAACCCTACAAGACCCTATTGTAATCATTACGGCCCTGTCCCTAACCTCCTAAACCTTTTTTTTGTTTCCCGGAACATGGTAAGCCGTTAGAGGAAGCCGTTAAAGCCCTAGAGAAGCATCCCTGGGCCGCTGCCAGGACCAGGCTTGCATTGAGAATGATGAAACAGGGCCAGGCACGCCCCTTGCTCCCGGGTTGTTTTGGGTTTAGGGTTTTAGGGTTCCGACTTCACAAGCCCGGATGCAAAAAGGGTTCTGGATGTCTCCTTATTCTCTGATTATGCTTGCATGTCTTGTCTTTGCGCTGCCAGTTGTCCGTCCCTCAATCGAAACCCACGGTATAACCAGGACTCTTGCCATACAGGCTTCCATGGGCATAGGGTGTGGGAACATATTCTTCACAGCAGCAGACCCCAGGCTACTACGAGCAAGTGGCGGAGTCGTTTCGTCTCTTTGAGGGCGACTCTGATGCCGTCCAGAACTGGGCTGAGGCAGGAAATTCACCCTCCTAAACCAGCCACAAGCCGAAGCCAGGGTCGAGTAGACACCGATGGACACCAGAGTTCAAGGAGCCAAGCACACTTGCTAATGGAATTTGAAGCACAGCCAGTCGCAGTGGAACTCGATCGGATGTTTACAAGAACAGCGGAAGCTTCAACGGGACCACAACGCTATTGCAAGTCGTGCGAGATACGCAGGACAAGCCGCAGACACAGCTACCTAATTGGAACTACCCTGGGCCCCGAGAGCATGGTGAGAATCGAGCGAGGCCACTTTTGCCGCAAGGCTTCCCGAACCGGGGTTGAAGCTTCGACGTTTCACAACTCGGAAGCCTGAGCTTTGGTCTTGAAACCTTGACTCCACGCTGGCTTTGGAAGGCCAGTGGCACAGACGTCGCGAGTCATATCCGGACGGCTGCTTGCTTGAATCGAAATGCTTGATTCGTGAATTCCTCTGATATCAGCACAGAGTTTCACGGTTCTTGTTGGATTTTTTCATCATGCACGGTCTGCTGTAGGATGTGAGGATTGATGCAGTTTTGGCCTGGCTTTGGTTGGCACTTGTGGTGATGTGGTCTTGGGCTGGAGACACGATTTTTGGGTGAGCTGCGAGTCAACGCAGCTTACCAGATCTCTTGTTAGTATACTATTGGGTTGAAGGGCTTTTGTGCACAATAGCGAAAGTTGCAGGTAGACTCTGCAGGTTCGGATTAGAGTACCTATCACGCTGTACTGCCTCGCTATGTCGAGCTGATCACAGTCTGGGGCAGATAGGTTCCAGAGTCTACGTCGTGCCATAGTATTATAAACACTTGGGGAGGTCTTGGAGAGTTATATTGAAGTATTAGGAATTAAGACTCCTGTCGTCATTCTTTCAAGAGGTCCTCCTGGAAAAAACACCTGTCTGCAGTATTGAAACATTCCTTCGAACATACTAAACAACTGCATTCAGGCTATATCATACATCGTTTTCATATCGTAAATCGAATTTTATGTTGTATGATGTTATACCCCCTAAACCCTAAACCCTAAACCCTAACCCCTAACCTATACTGTATCATATCATGTTCTTTTCTTATGTGGCAAGGTCTTCGAGGCGGCAGCATATACGGATCCGTCGACCCGCGCTGCGATGGTTGAGCGAGGGATCCAGGCGCATGCTGGAGAGTACGAAAGCCTTTTTTCTTGGGCAGGGTTACGGTTACAAAAAGGGTTTAGAGTTTAGAGTTTGTAGGTTTAGGGATTAGGTCAATGGCTACGGCTCAAGCCATTTTGCTACGAGGCCAGAACTTGGCAAACCCTTTAATTGGTAATTCGCTGCGAACAATAATTTCGCAATGGCCACAAATGCTTCCAAGCTGGTTTCCTGCTTAGCCTACGCTCGTCGTCTTTCGAAACGCTGCCACTGCGATGCTGTTCAGAGACATTTGACTCTGGCATTATGCGCGCTAACAACTGAAGGAATGCACGAACGGCGCTCTACACTGGGTGGTGAAGTTACCTTTGTCAGAAAGATCAGCTTGCTTCATGCTCTTCGTCCACAGACGGTCTCGATGTCAACTCAGACGGATGCCAACATGCTCACGGAGACTGAACACACAGCCCTGATGATGGACATCATGACGAAGGCGAAGGCTACTCAGATGGATATCGTGAAGAAGGCCCAGGACATTCAGGAGCAGGCAATCACCATAATGCAGCGTCAAGAAATCGTAATACAGAAACTGACAACGGAATTATGCGAGCTTCGGGGCTCATCGGTTGCTGGTTCCTCATCGTACTCTGGGCGGGCCTTTCCGGCAGATGCATCCGGTCAAGATGAGGATCCTTGTGCTGCTTCCTCTTCGCAAGACTCTGGTCTGCCCAAGTCGACAGAATCGCCGCAATCGCATGCACGCGGATGTTATGCTTCGGGCTTGACCTTGCCACTGTCATGGAGTTCATTGAGTGACTTGAAGGAAATGCATGTGGCACGGCGGAGGGAGTGGAAGCGGGCACGCAGAGCTCAGAGGGATGATCGCAGAACGACTCACTCCAATGAGGATATGGGGCCAACTTGATTGCATGTTTATGCTTCTCAGAAATCGATTGAGAGATGCATGAGTAGCGTTTGCTATGTGAGCTTGATTTGTAATCTTACATTTGAATGTTGCGCTTTCCCGGCTGGCGAACAGAGTCCTGGATGCAAAAGGGATTAGGGATCAGGGTTTCGGCTGCCGGCATACACTGCAAGTCCGTGCTTAAAACGGGTTTGGGGTACCATTTTTAGGTTTCAAGTCGTTTAGGCTCAGGGCGACGAGTTCAGAAGGCTCAGGGGCTCCAGAGTGCCGCAGCTTCACAACAGTGGGTAGAAAAGCTTAGGCTCAGGCTGTATAGAGTTTAGGGTTTAGGCTTTAGGGAGGGTCTTGAGGCATCATGTGCCCCCTCTCACCTCCCAGTGCTCCACCTGTCCAGATGCAACAGCAGCTCCTCAAAGAGAAGCGGGTCAAGAAGAGCGCCCCTTGGCAAAGGAGGTGCCTTCCGACCGTCGGATTCAGGCTCTATTATCTAGTTGGCCGATTCTGGCCAGATTCTGTAGTGTCCGACTTACAAAACGAAAACTGAGAATGAATATAATGCTCAGACAAATCTTTGAGTCTGTTTGACAAGTTGTAGGTAGGTTCCGATGGCTTTTGGGACCACTAGGTGTGTGTTTCAAGCAGAATTTCTCAATGTAACGTCCTCGAGCTGTTGTTTTTGTGAACGGTATGTGGCAAGAACATCCTTCGATGTTTGAATCGCATGTACTGCAGCAGACGACATACAGATCTCGACTAGACGTTTGAGTCCCCGAAGCCCCATAAGCCCTCCATGAACCCATCCTGGACCTAAGAACCATCACATACTTCATTCTTTTGTGATCTCCGGTCGAAACAATCATGAAACCGGAGCGTTCACCCAGATCCTTACAACAGCAGAGTGTCGGGTTTGGGCTCAGGGATTCAGGTTCGGGATTTTGGGGCGGCTCCCGGGCGGCGAGGCAAGCCCGTTGCAAAAAGGTTAGGTACAAGTCTGGGATAGTCTGGGTGTAACAAGGGTCAGTCCGCCGACCAACCGAGGAAAAGTTGGTTCGCGCAGCCAGTAAAGCTCTGGAGATCGCGAGGGCAGACTCAGGCGGGCACTTAACCAACAACCTGGTTTGCCATCCCTTAGCCCAGAAGTCCCTTCATCATGAAGCCCCCGCAGCGTTTGTGCCCTGAAACCTTAAACCCTGACCGGCTCTCATTGTTGCGGGTCATTCCTCGGAGCTCTGAAATCTGGAATTTGCATGCCTGGGTAGCTCTCTAAAGTAGGGTTTGGTTTACCCAAAATAGTACAGCACCCTAAATAAAAAGGACCCTAAAAGGGACCCAAATTTGGAAAACTACCCACATGATGCCTCGCCTGCAGGCTACAGCACTGCCAAAGCGCTAGCTGATGCTGCATTTCTGGAAGTGTGCCTTGGTGCAGGAATCTGGGAGTTTCCGAATATAAGGGGTACCTGAATTGGGGGTGCTTATATTAAGGATCCTACTATTTAGGGTACTATGTTAGGGTCCCCTATTTTCGGAAACCCCCATCTCTTGGAATGGCCATGGCGAGCTTGGCGGTGTTCGGAGGCGGAAGCGGGTGGGTGTAGCTCAGGCCAGAAGGTCGCAAGATAAGGATAAACATTGTGCTCCTGTTTGCCAGCTTGCTCGACTCGGCACAGGGTTTGGGGTTATGGCTATGCTGGGCGGATGAAAGGGTTTCGTGCAACACTTCGTGGCCAGAAAGCAAGTTTAAACGGGTCCTTAATTATGTTCGCTCGCGCCCTCCACCAGAAACCCTATACCCCCTATAAGCCCTTAAGCCCAAAAATAACATGGCTTTTCTCTGCAAGTTGGAATCCTGGAAGTAACAACACTACATTTACGAACGGGCTTTAGTTTGGAACATGAGCTCCAGCACAGAAGTGACCTCAAACGCAATCACACCCGAATTCGTTAGCTTCCTTCGTCCAGCTCGTGGTCGTGAAGGTTGTTGCTGTTGGCGTAGAGCATCGTGTGAGCAATCGCCTCAATGGATATCCTGACAGTGATTAATTTTTTCTGCCGACGCTCGACATCGAGAGTCCAAGCCAAAGTTCCGAAATCCGGATGTCTCGGACATTCCGCAGCCAAGGGCCGCGCTGAGAACAAAATGGACGGTGGTGCAGGAGTTTGGCACGGGGCTCAGTCATCGTCACAGCCTTCTTGGGCTAGTGGGGTTTAGGGCTTATAAGGGTCAATAGGGGATTAGCGTTTAGGTTTTAGGGTGTAGGCTATTCGGGTTTAGGGCCCAGGGATTAGAGTTTAGGTTTTAGGCTCAGTTCAAGCCTGTGGAATCAAAAAAGGTTTTAGGGTTTAGACTATTCGGGTTTAGGGCCCAGGGATTAGAGTTTAGGTTTTGGGGTTTAGACTATTCGGGTTTAGCGCCCAGGGATTAGAGTTTAGGTTTTGGGGTTTAGACTATTCGGGTTTAGGGCCCAGGGATTAAAGTTTAGGTTTTGGGGTTTAGACTATTCGGGTTTAGGGCCCAGGGATTAGAGTTTAGGTTTTGGGGTTTAGACTGTTCGGGCTTTTGGGTTTTAGGGTTTAGGCTTTTCGGGTTTAGGGTTTCAAAGCCTCACTCGGCCGGAGGTACCAAAGAAGATGCCTTGCGCTTCGTGTTGGAGTGTCAACCCTTTGACTACCGCCCGGCTGGAGATGCCTACGACGACTTCCCTCGCTTCCAAAACAGCCCCTGGGCCCTGTTCGGGGTGTTAGACGGTGTTAGGGTAAGAAAAGGTTTTGGGGGTTAGGGGTGAGGGGACTAGAAGCTCCGTTTGTTTGCGTTCTTGGGGTTCAGAATTCAAGCTGTGCGGATCATCGTTCTAGGTTCTACGTTCATCTAAAGTATCTGCCTGAGTGATTCCAACTTCAGTTCGGGGAAAAAATGGAGAATTTAGTAGCCTTAAACTCTGAACCCTATGCCTCATGCCTTATGCTCATAGATCCAAATTTAGACTCTGTGTTCTAAACCAAACTGAAACCTAAACCCTGACGCCGATCCCTCAAGCTAATCCCTTGAAGAGCTTCCCCTCCTGCGTGAGAACATGCTAAAGTCATGCGCAAACTCCCCGTGGAGACGCCTCCCTGAACCCTAAACCCAAATGCCTCGCCTGGATTGTCCGAGTGTGAGCGCCCAAACCCAAAGTGGAAAACACCAATCTCTTCCGAACTGAAGCAAGGTCAGGGCTGGAAAAAATCGAGCCGAATAGACATTAGCCATAAACACGCCCGTGCCAGTTCAGGTAAGGACTGCTTGGCCTACGTCATGGCGCTGGAACCTTTCCCCTCTGAGTTTCAAAGCCACTTGGATAGACAGGACTGTCCGGCATTTCTGGCAGGGGGATCGAGTTCGTATGAACTTCATGAAACAGGCTATCAGGCTAAGCCTTGTGGCGCACGGTTGGTGGTTCGGACGTAAGCTGTGCGGTTTCGGGTTTAGGGTGTTGATTGCAGCCCACGCACGCTAGAGCATCCAAGAGATTTGAGGCAACAGGCCTCCAAAGACTACGCTACGTGCAAACCTCTCGTTCCTTAGAGTGGAAGTCCAATTGGGGTCCGTCAATGGGTCACTTGGGCAGTAGAAGGGAAGCGCTTGACTTGCGGGAGTAGGATCCGACGCTAATCTTCGTCGTCGTGGATTTCGCGGTGGTGCTTCTGCCGGTGACCTCGCATGTCCACTTCTAGCAGCGTCATGTGAGGTCTGCATATAGCTGCATAGCTGCAACACCAGCCACTGACTAGTAGCACCCTGAAAATGAAGAATATGTGCTTTGCTCCACTTGCAGTAGAAGCCTGAGTAATTACCGGCATTATTCCTTAGGGTTCCTTATTATAACCATACACTATAATCCTAATTTGTCAAGACCCCCTATATTGAGTGATTTGCTGCGGAGGTCCAGATTCCAAGAGTTGCAGTGTGGCCTCTGCATCAAGACAAGACCAATGCAGAGCCTCCTTTTGCACAACCCCTGCTGACATACTTCTATACTAACTTAATTATAGTATAACTATTACTACTACTATTCTCTATCCTTTTCATTGGTTCCTGGATCTCTTAGCCGACGCAGATCTCGCCGGGTTTGCCAAATTTGCGAGGGTGGAAACCCGAAGAAAAGTTCAGGTTGTGAGCCCGTCTTCAAGCGACGACTGCGGCTGCAGCTGGCAAAGGAGAAGAGTGGTGATAGTGCTACGTTCGGGAGCCGCGCGCAGATCCACCCGATATTTCCGTAATGAGCTTGAGTATGTGAAATTTGACCAGTTACCGATTTTTTAAGCTGACTTCACATCAGCCCCGGCAGCCATTACAAGAGCACGCTTCGAGATTTTTACTCCCTCTGACAGCCCTCCTTCGCATCTTAAAATTTCTTGCAAATCCGGGCCTTGAACCCCAAAACCCTCAACCCCTAAACCCTAAACCCCTAAACACTAAACCCCTAAACCCTTAAACCTATAAACCCAAAACGGCCCTAAACCCCCAAAAAGTCGGGGAACCCCTAAGGCCCCAAACAAAAAGAGCACAAGAAGACTCCTTGCGAACTCGGCGAGGAGGGTGAGCAGAAGCCAGACAGCGCACAGAGGAAGACGAAGCCACGGCCGAGGACACCGGCAATTTCCGTCTTTAGAGCGTCTCAGGGGTGTTTAGGGTTTGGATTTGTTCACGGGGAAGGAGCTTTATTTGCCAAAGTCTCGAAGAAAAGGTCTACAGGGTGCAGGCATAACATCAGTTTGCAAGGGTTTGTGTTAATTGCGTTCATGATTTGAGATATGGGGTTTTGGTTGGAAGGCGGGTTCAGAGCCGGAGAAAAGCGGCCCAGACGTACACCATATAGTGAGATTTCAACATCGAGGGTCTCTCCTGTCGGGTCGTTTGCAGTCATTTCATAGAAGGCATTCCTGAGGCATGGCACCGCACGCTTGAAGCCTTGCTCTTGGTTTCCATCTCTCCAGCAGAGGCAGTAGTAGCAGGCTGGACGCAAACCGGGTTGAGGCTTAGGGGTTGCGAGCACGCATGTGAATTTTAAATGACGCGATCATCCCTCCGGCTTCAGTTGCTCTTTGCCTTGAGTTACCCCTCTTCTTACTCGCTCGAATCGCCCCTGCTCCACGTGCGAACACTCATTGATGCGTGCTGAGGGTTCGCCTGTAGGGTCACATCCGGCGAGTGCACAAGCCCCCCCCCCCCCATGTAGGGGTGTGGGTATACAGGTTTCAGGTTTTGGGGTTGTGACGGGCTCGGGGTGGTAGGTTTGACTTCTAAAGTTATGAAAGGTTTAACCTCTAAACCCTGAGCTCTACACCGCTTCAAGGAAGAAACGTGGAAAGCGCCGAAACCTTAAACAAAGCCCTAGTTAAGCGCTATACGATTAGGCTTCGCCAAAGGACTGTCATGGGCCAGCCAAGCTCGGACGGGGCTCGCTGGCAGGTTCAGGCTGAGCGGGGGGCCACACAAGATGGGATGCAGGTAGTGGTACGGTTGATGATATAAATCTTGCATTACCCATAATAAGGAATATACCATAATTCCCATAGTTTAGGGTCCTTAAGGTAATGCAGGATTTATATCATCAACCCTACAGTTTCGGGTTTGGGGAAAATGGGGGATTACCCCACCTGCCTTCATCCCACTCTGAGATTCGGGTTTATCAGGGTTTAAGGTGTAGGGTTCAGGGTTTAGGGTGTTTGGTTCAGGGTGTAGGGTTTAGGGTGGTATATGATTGTAATACTATGTTATTATGTAGAATCGGCAGCTGCAGCTGTTAACGAACACCGATGCCAGCATGCCAGCCCATTCCGCCATAACGGGCACTGAGCGAAGATGCCGTAGCATCTTCTTCCTGGAAACCCCAAGCCCTTCCACTATGCCGAAATAATTAATAAGGGGCCTTATCAGTGGATAAGGGTTGTGGATTATAGGACAGACAGTACAAGTAGACAGGGACTATAAAGGGAGACTTCTAGGTATTCTCGCCCGACCTCTAGATCATCCGTTCGGCCGACTCTGCTTTGCCGCCGAATCCTTCCATCCCTCTCAAATTCCGGCTGAACACTTTTGATGAAGACTGGCTATGGTTTGACACGGCTTCATATTCCGCACCGAAGATGTTGAATCCCCATTTGGGTACCTAACCTATTTCGAGCGATGCTTCGCACCACGAGGAGAAGGAGGACGCAGAGGAGGAGTAGGAGTAGGAGTGTAGGAGCAGCAGGGGGAAGAGGAGTAGTAGTAATTAGTGAGCAGTGGGGCTGCAGCCCCTTGGTGGGATTCGTCCGGAAAATCTTCACATGATACAGGATCGGGCACAAACAGTCAACAACAAAGGAACAGACCCTTAAACCCTTATAAGCCCTAACTAATCTTTAAAGCCTCAAGCCCGAGTCGCCTCAAAAGCCTGCGAGGCTGCCGGATGTCTCTTCGAGACTCCCGGGCTCCGCACGCTCGCTGAGAAGCCCCCGGCGCAGAGGCTGCCTGCCCATCGGGTTGACAGGTTTAGTAGCTGAAGGCTGTAGCAATTGACTAGGATGTTTGGTTTGGGGGTTACGGCTTCGGTTTCTTTAGGGTTCAGGGATCAGGGACATGCTGTTGCGAGTGCGGTCGGTGTCGTTTTGATTATCCGGTTGTCATTAACTCATTTGTCAATTCGTTCATGATCTGCTTCCTGTTGTCATGGTTATCGCCAGTATGAGTTACCTTGGTTGTGGTGCATAGTATTAGGGCTGTCGGCACCAGTGCTTCGTTTGTTACCACGCTAGTTGGTCTGCTATCCAAACAAACATGTTCTTCTTGATTGTAACTGCAATATCAACAGTCACAATGCTGTGCCGGCTGCTGCTACCTGGCATCAATGCTCAGCTCATGGCATGAGTATTGGGCAACGCTTGCAACGGTATTTATCCACCGCCGGTTTACCACATGGAATGGAACCACCTGAATCCGCAGCATCTTCTCCTTTGTCCTGTGTATCTTGACTATGATGGGTGGCTATGTGCTGATGATGTGGAGGGCCACATAAACAGTTGCCGGCAAACTCGGAACAATCTGCGGACGCCTGGTCGAGGCCTGACCACCCCAGCCCTTGGCACCGCGGAATGGCAGCGGCTAGCTAGCCCTGTACGCGGGGTTCCTCCACACCCTTTTTCCTGAACCCTTTAACAACTAGGCAACTAAAACCCTAATGCTCTACGTAGAATCCCCAAAGCAGCTACATAGTGAACCTCAACCCTAAAATATAGCTTTAGCGTTGAGGGTGGAGCTTTGGTAGACCAGGTACTACATTGCCGTGCCGCCGGAGATGGAGAAGAAGGTCAGCGGGGCTGCATAAGAGTTCATGGTCCATTGCAAGGGTTTTTGGTTTTGAAGATGGGGTCCATCGGGATAGTCTATTCCAGGTGCCCCTTCCACGCCCTACCGCGGTGCCCGTGAAGCGTAGGATCACAGCAGCACCGTCAAAATCCGCACCAACATCGCCGAAGTTGGGACTTCAAGAGCTTCCAAAACACAGAAACCCCCAAGCCTGAACCCTAAACTCCAAACTTTGGCTACGGCTCAAGCTCCTGGCCTTAGCAGTCCCGTGTCGCCGAAGTAGAGTTTGCCTCCTCTTGTGCCATGTCTCGCAAGATCATCGCGGCTCTTGCCTTTGCCCCGGCTGTGGTGGCCAACAGCTGTCCGGGCTCGGCATCCTTCATCCATGCCAGCTGCCAGGTCTCCGTGACCGCGGATGCCACTTGCTTGGAGGTCATGTCCGAGATGGAGGCACGTGTGGCCGGCATCAGCACCGGCGCATGGCATGACCCGCACAACAACGGCACCTACTCGCAGCAGGAGCAAGGTGCGGCCGAGCTTGCATTCCAGCGAACAACAGGCAACAAGAAGTACACGGACAAGCTGAAGTTTACTTTCGAGGATGCTCCTGCTGGCACCTGCAAAATCCAGGGCTGCAGCGAAAGTCAAGTCTTCTCCGTTGCCGACTTCTCCACCAACTACTGCAATCTGCGCATGCTCTACTGCGGCTCTCAAGAGGGGTGCAAGCCGGTGCAGAAGGACTTCGCCATCACTGAGACCTCGGTGAGTCCGTCCTTGGGGGCTTCGAAAAAACCCGCAGATTGCCTGAAGACCATGACTACGAGTCAGCACTTCCTGTCAGTTCAGGCGCAATCCCAGTGCCCACCTTCGGGCTTCGAAACGGTGAAGGACTTCGACCTGGACAGTTTCATCTCCAAGCGCTGGTACATCCAGCAACAGATGGAGACAAAGTACCTGCCGAAGTCCCAGAACCGCTGCGTCTATGCTGAGTACAAGCTCGAGCCCAAGAAGACTCTCTTGGGCTACGACGTGGCTGTGCACAACCATGCAGAGGAAGTCGCACCGCCGCACACCGTCCATGACTCCGGCAGCAAGATTTGCGCCAAGGTCGTCGACAAGGCCCGTGGGAAATTGGAGGTGGCACCCTGCTTCCTGCCAAGTGCCCTCGCGGGCCCTTACTGGGTCGTAGACTACGACGAGGGAGCAGGTTACGCCTTGATCTCTGGTGGTGCACCGACTGTGCCTGCAGAGGAGGGCTGCAAGACCGGATCGGGAACCAATGACTCCGGGCTGTGGATCTTCACGCGCGAGCAGAAGCGGGACGAGGCTCTGGTGCAGAAGGTGAGGGCGATCGCAGCCCAGAAGGGCTTCGACCTCTCCGTCCTCAACGATGTGGAGCAGAGTGACTGCGGAAGTCTCGCACAGGTTGTGGTGTGAGAACGCCCTCTACCAGTAGAAATCCTTCAGCTTTGGCTTACAGCTATGGCCCTTGTACAGCTTGCAGACCGTCGGAAGCCATGCAAGGAATAGACTGGATGGTTCGACTTGTCAGCAACCGATTCAAATTTTCAGAGTTGCCACTTGGGAAATCTTTTGCACTGAACAGAATGCATGTGGCAACTTCCTGCAGACATGCGAAACAGACGGAGAAGTAAAGAGACTGCGAACTTCAGTCCAATTCGTAATTCTGGATGCACTCACCGCATGTCGCTGCATCAGCTGCTGCTCCAGCTTTAATTCAGAATTCTGTTCCTGGCTTCTTGATGTGCCGTGATTTCGGATTCTAGAGTTGAGTGGGGTTTTGGACCATGGACACCATGCTGCACGAAACTGGACTTGGCGGGGCCTCGGCATTTTGCTGCACAGTGTGAGCCCTAGGAAAAACCAGACTCAGACGAGTCCCGCCTCTTCCTGTACTATACCTTGAGGAGACGTGTCGCCGTAGTGCCACTACTTTCTACAGGGGTGTTCGCTGTGACAGTGTATGCCCGGTGTACTGCTTTAATTAGGATGCTTGAGCAGCCTTAGCCGAAACCTGGATTGATGCCGGCTTGCATCCTGTGGTCGACAATCTGTTCTGCCAAACTTACCCTGCAATGCGGGCTCGTCCCTGCTATGTACTTGGAGGATCATGGGACTTAGTAAGTAAGGTTATAAGTCCCTTAATAGGGGTCATAAGTATTTATAAGTATAGTTACCCTATATATAACCCAAGTTACTAACTCCCATGATCCTTTAAGTAGGAGGGAAAAGACTCCCAACTCCGAATCCTCAGGTGCTGGCAGAGGGCTACCAGCCCCAAAAGCGCAGCTCCATCCCCTGCTCGTCTTCTCCTCAAGAGGCGGGTCAGGGTTTCAGGGTTCAGGGTTTAGAACCGTTCCCTTGAAGGATCATGGGAGTTAGTAACTTGGGTTATATATAGGGTAACTATACTTATAAACTTATAAATACTTATAACCCCTATTAAGGGACTTATAACCTTACTTACTAAATCCCATGATCCTCCAAGTAGGGTTTATGGTTTCGGGTTCAGGCCAAGGCTGCAGTTCCCAAGTTCCCAATCATGCGTGGTGCATCCAACAAGTGCTTTGGGGATTTCTGGTTAGGTTTAGGGTTTAGGCTTTGGGCCATTGGGTGTAGCGCTGGCTTCAGCAAATGGACAGTGTCCATTTGTGTTCATTCTGCCAAGTAACACACGCACACACACACACACACTAAAGCTGAAGCTATTAGCGAGTGTGTGTCTATGTTGTGTGTACAGGTGAGTATGTGTAGGTGTATTTGGTTTATGCACATAAACACTCATATTCACTTGTACACACAACAGTACGCACCCACGTATTATATATATATATATACACACAGACACATGCATGCATGGATGTATGGATGTATGCATGGACGTATGTATGTATGTATGTATGTATGTTTGTGTATGTATTTTTATGTTTGATTATGTATGTATGTATGTATGCATGCATGCATAGACGCATATGCACACACACACACAAGCAAACAGACGCATGGACAGATAGACATACATACATACGTGCACAGTGTATGTATATTTATGTATGTTTGTATATATATATATATCTGTATGTATATATATATATACATAGAGGTAGGTATACACAAACATGCGTGCACAACCATGTGATGTACAGAAATTAAATGACCAGAGACTTGAAGGCGTAGGTTTTCGGCTCCGTGAGATGACAAACATGCTGCTCCGACACCCGAGAGCACTGGACCTTCTGTGTTTTTTGTCAAACCTGCGAGGATTCAATGTTCCAGTGATTCAGGCGGATGTTGTTTGATAGTCGGGGGGTCAAAGGAGGGCTCATATTAAGGGCAACAACAAATAAAAGGGAGACTAATAATAAACTCTGACACCCTAGTTCATGTGTTCTTCGTATGGTCATGTCTATTCTGGTGGCACGAAGTGGTTCCAGAACTCGCGGAATCAAGACTTGCGGTATGGTTGCGAAAGCTGGCCTGATACCAATCGTGCCATCACTGCGGTTGAGGAACCGGTCGAAGCAGAGGGTTGCCTCCATTTCGGCTTGACATCATTTGAGGAGGCAAGCTTTCGGCTTTCCCTTGTGGTTGCAAGATGCAGAACTGCACAGCATACTGAGTGAATTCCGAGCCTGCTCGACATCAGGCTCTGGCGGCCTTCATGAAGGTCACGAAGAGAATGAAGGAAGAGCGTGAACAGTTGCTCGGATGAGCTCTGAGAAGAAGAATGGGCAGTTCAAGCAAAGGGGTAGCTTAGGGTTCTTTCTCGCCGAAAGGTCCTGAAATGACCACGGCCCCGGTCCTAGCTGCAGGTTCCACCATAAACCCTAAACTCTAGACCGTTTCTGAAGCCCACAGAGCAGCGGCATCATTTTTCAGTTCTTTTAAATGCGTTGATCTGATCCGACCCGAGGGTGGACAAGAGGAAGAAGGAGAGCGAGAGCCTCGATATCTTTCTTCCTTGGTGTTAAGACTGGGTCCTTGTTGGATGCATTTTTTACAGTCTTGGTATAGCAAAACCCAATACGTATTAAACATGGTCAGTTTTTATATATCCCCAACAGGGAACCAGAAGGGTTTGAGGGGCTAGAAATTCGGGTTTTGGGGTGTGGGCTTCAGGGGTCGAAGGGGTTTCTCTTTAAGGGTTCCAGGAAGTCGCTCTTTGCTTCAGGATCTA